TCAGGACTGGAGGGCCGCATCCATGATTTGCAAGAAGAAAACAAGTATAGGAAGAAGGAATTTGAGGAGGAGCTAGAGAAAGCTGTCAATGCTCAGGTTGAGATTTTCATCTTGCAGAAATTTATTCAAGATATGGAAGACAAAAACTATTCGCTTCTGATTGAGTGCCAGAGACATATTGAAGCTAATAAATGTTCTGAGAAGCTGATTACAGAACTAGAGAGTGAGAACATGATTCAAGAAGTGGAAGCTGAGTTCTTGTTGGACAAAATCGGAGCGCTGAGGACAGGAATTAATCAAGTTCTGAAAGCTCTTGAGATAAAATATTGCAGTGAAACTGAAGCGGAGCAAAATTTCGTTCCATGTATACTTGCCAGTATTAGAAATATCAAACACTCCTTGTCAGAAAGCAAGGATGAGAATCAGAAAATATTGTTTGAGAAATCCATTCTGACAACAATACTTGGGCAACTTCATATTGAATGTGCAGAACTTTCATTCAGGAAGATCGTCCTTGAGCAGGAGTCTCAAACATTGGCTCATAAACTTGTGATGGTTGAATATGAGAAACATCAGCTTCTGGAGAGAAGCAAGCAGCTGAGTATGGAACTAGATGAGAGAGAGAAACGGGAAGAAGCCTTGAACGCTAAAGTGGAGGACCTACATGTGAAGCAAACACAACTACAAGGTGCATATGTTTCACTCGAGGAGGAAAATCTGTTTGTTTTCGACGAAAACAGGTGTTTGCAGGAGGAGTTATCGCACATTAAGATGGAAAAGAACATCTTAGAAGAGGAAAGTAGTAACATCATTGTTGAGGCCCTAGCTTTCAATTATCAGTCTATGATCTTGAAGAGCTATGGTATTGAGAAATCTTGGGAGTTGGAGGAAGTTTTTGAAGAGATGAATTCCTTGGGCAAGGCATTCAAAGATCTTGAAAGTGAATCCATAAAATTGGAGGAAAATCTGTTGGTTAAGGAAATGGAGAATGTGGCCCTGAAAGCATCAATGAAGGAGTTGGAGGATATGCAACATGAACTCAGTGCTCGTAACAATCAGTTGAGACGTGAAATTTCTGATGAGAGGGAGTTGCTAAACCAAAAAGATAGAGACCTTTCAGAAGCTGAGTTAAAGCTTAAAGCAGCAGAGGATGTAAATGCAGAATTGTGTTGTACTGTTCTGTATCTTGAAAAGGATTATGAAAATTTAGAAGTTACAAGGACAGTTTTACAGCAACAGATGGTTGAACTCTCCGAAGACAACAAATATCAGGAGAAGGAAATTGTTTCTCTTCGTGATGCTAATGGAAACTTAGAGTCTGAAGTAGGCAAGCTACATGAAGAGATAGAAGAATATAAGATAAGAGAAGTGATCTTGGCCTCAGAGCTTCATGAAAGAAGTAATGAATTTGAACTCTGGGAGGCTGAGGCAGATTCCTTCTATTTTGATCTCCAGATTTCTTCTGTACGCGAAGTTCTGTTTGAGAACAAGGTTCATGATCTGAGCAGCTTATGTGTGTGCCTTGAAGATGTAAGTAATCAAAGAAGTTTGGAGGTTGAGACTATGAAACGAAGAGTTACCTCACTGGAAAATGAAGCTGAGGTTCTCAGATCCCAGCTTACTACATGCCTACCACTTATAGCCTCTCTTAAGGATAGCGTTGCATTGCTTGAGAAAAATCCACTCATGCAGTCTAAGCTACATACTACTTCCACTGCAGAAACACAAGTAATGATCTTACTCCCTCCAATATTTCTTATTTTTTTTTACTTATATTAACAATGGCATATGGTCCTAATAATCCCAATTTGTTATAACATTCTTTAATCAAGTTTTGTTGCTTAACTGCTTAATGGGCTCTCTTGTAGCTTATGATTGGCGTTTTTTCGTAAAGTAATATAAATAAAATTAAGGTTTATCAAATAGGTAACTGGTATTGTGGTGAGGTTATAAGATTAAGATTTATCACATTGCAATTTATTAATTTTTTTGGTTTTTTATTTTATTTTCGTTTTAATTTAATTGTTTATGTTAGCTGTCTAGGTTGTTTTAATTTAATTGTTTATGTTAGCTGTCTAGGAATAGAATGCATGTTGCAAATTGCTGGATTGATGGACAAGTACATTGATACTGATGTAATATCTGCCGAATATTCTAACATTGATTGTACTGACATTAGACACAAGCTAACTACAAATAGGCCTCTTTTGTTCAAAAACTATTATAATTTTCAATTCTGCTATTATTCTTTTTTGACCAAAATCTTTGGCCTTTGACTTATAAACATCTATATTTATCATCTCATTTTTGGACACTCTTTTTCATACAATTCCTGTGATATTTTGTTTACAAACTATCAAACTTTCATGAAATTTATTATTTGACACTACAAATTATTTTTGTCTATGTAACCTGTCTAGTTTATTTATGGAACAATTGATAGGTAATAGAGTGAAGTCAATAGAAAAGACAAATAAAATCTATTACATCAGTTTTGTTGTTTTTTTTAAATATGTTTCATTTCTGTCCGTTTCATGATGTTCTTAACATATCTGCTTTATTACATTTTGACAAATCTCTTTTACTACATTACCCCTCTTACCTCACAATATCTACACCTTTTCACTCACTCACCTTTTTCATTCTCCGAGTTTATTTATTTATTTATTATTATTATTATTATTTTTTTAAACACTACCCAATTTTTTACACGCTGTCCATTGCCTTAATTCTTGTGCAAACAGTTAATGTTAGAAACATTAGAAAATGGTAGTAGCACATTAAATCACTTGAAGTGGGTGGCCTATTCGTTTGGGATGTGCAGTAATCTGGTTGTCATTCAGGACAATGAGTCATGAGTGTACAATGAATGATATTCATACATTAGTTGTAATCAAGTAATTCCGTGTACTGTGGTACATTAAAATTTGCATGTCGAAATTGCTTTAATTTAAATTCCTGTATACAGGGAATTTTGGACCAGACAGAGGAAAGTTCGACATCTTCAAGTGGCTATTTTGAGCTGCGGAAACTGCAGGACAGAATTAAGGTGATAGAAGACATATTGCAAAAAGAAAAGGAAATGGTTGCCATGCAGGAACAATCAAATAACAATGTCAGACTTGAAGCTGCACTTAAAGAGATTAAAGAACTGAAATCAAGAATTAACTCTCACTACCAGGAGGAGCATCGGCGCAGTAGCCGGGTTTCCATATCGGAAGCTTGTGAAATCAAAAGTGGGGAAGAGATGAAGGATATACCCCTTGACCAAGCATCAGGCCGTTCATTCCAGAGCATCAGTAAGAGAGGCAGTGCTGGATCTGATGATCAGATGCTTGGGCTATGGGAAGCTGCAGAAGAAGACAGCTGCCATGATCAAGTGATCAGTGAAGTGCTCGAACAAGGAACTGATACCATAGAAGATGAAATTGTGAACCAATCTAGTTTGAATCCAACTCCGGAATCGCAATTTGAGAAAGAATTAGGAGTTGATAGGCTAGAATTGTCAAATAGAGGTGCTCAGTTGACTAGAAAAGGAACGAAGAAAAAGGTTTTGGAGAGACTTTCTTCTGATGCCCAGAAGTTGACAGGCTTACAGGTTTCGGTCCAAGAATTAAAGAAAACAATGGAGCCAAAGAAGAGAAGGAAGAAAGGTGAAGATGCTGATTACGACACTTTCAGGGGGCAATTACAGGACGTGGAGAATTCTGTCGTCCACTTAATGGATGTCAATGCTGAGTTGATTAGGTGCATCGAGGAGTGCTCAGTCACTACAGAGGTGAGGGGTGAGAGAATATCAGATGAGGCCGAGAGTACCTGGCAAAAGAGAGTCTCAGAGCAAGTACGGAAGGAGGCAGAAAATATTGGGAAATTGGAGGTAGAGATGCAGAGAATGCAGTACGTGCTGCAGAGGCTGAAAGATGAAAAGAAGAGCAAAGGCAAAGAGAATGGCTCCAGAAGCAGTGCAGCAGTTGTGTTGAGGGAGTTTTTTTACAGTCGCGTGCGCAAGAATAAAAAACAGAAGAAACCCCGTTTCTGTGGCTGCATGAGACCTACAGCTACGAAAAACTGAGGCAGTCTTGTGAAATATATCTTGTTGAGCTGATTGAGCATTTTACTCGAGCTCCTAGAGTCGGTGCTCACTCTACGTTGCAGGATCAGTCCTTTTTTGTTGGGATACCCTGCAATTTTTAGGATTAGAGTCAGGAAACATTCTGATCTAATTGTAATAGATTCTGAACAACTTTTAATTCCTAGTTTATGATTGAGTGTTGTAGCAATTGAAAGTCCCCTAATGTATGACTATTGTGTTTCTACCCCTGATTTTACGTACTAATATCATTGCTCAGTATATGAATAAAGGGGATAATGAACAGCCTAATTTATGTGTGTTGTGCTGCAAAAGCCTGTATTAGACGGACTTAGTTACCTCTTTGTAAAAATTATACGAAGTACTACCTCTGTTAATTTTTAGTTACAACAAAGGGTATCATTTGTGAGTTATAAAAAATTCCTTTGTTTCAACTAAAAGTTATTAGAGGTAGTATAACCGTTAGACTGTAAGGGTGTAGGATTGGGCCTGTACTATGGAGTTGTAATGGAGTAATGCATTTACTTTGTCATGCATTATGTTAAGATAAAGGAAAAATTGCCAAAAATAATACAACTTTTGGCTGGTTCTTTTTTAATAATAAAACCTTTGGGTTATTTTGTAATAATATAACCTTTAGGGGGTGTTAATTTTAAACAAGACAAAATCGAATTTTTTGTGGATTTTGAGGTTAAGAAAGGGGAGGGGATGAGATTTTGGTGGTGGGGATGGGGAAGGGGGGAATATCCCCTCCCATTCTCCCACCTTAAAACCCACCAAAAATTCGATTTTATCTTGTTTAGGCTGTGTTTGTTTCAAGGGAAAAGCCTTTCCCTGAATATAGTTTTCTTATTTTCTACTGTTTGTTTTGGACCGGCCCATAAAATGGAAAATAAGGCTAGAAAATACTTTTCCATTGAGGCCCAAATATTTTCCCTAAGAAATCGAGGTATTCCGTAATTTCCATCGTCTTCAACTTTTCACTGCTTCCCCCCCTCATCTTTTCTGCGTGCTCTCTATCTCATCTTCATCGGCGTGAAGATCTGCTCTCACAAGGTAATTTCCAATTTATTCCGTTTCCTTTATTTGATTGTTTGCTTCTTTATTTGATTCAACATCTCTGCTCTCGAAATTCTTGGTTAGGTTTGTGATTAATTTGGATACAATTTATGATTTGTTTATTTTAACCTGGTTTAATTTTGAAGTAGGATTAGTTTGTGCTATTGAAATTTTAGGGTTAATTTAGCAGTAGAATTAATTTGATACATTGTATAAGATATTTAGGGTTTGTTAAATCAAAATCGAAATGGTTGCGATTGTGGAGATTTGCGATTGCGGGTTTTGGTGACGGTGTGCGAGGGAGTGGCTCGGTGTTTTTAGGTGATGGGTATTTAGGGTTTGTGTTTCTGGGTTGGTTTTGTGCAGGAATTGGTGTAGAAGGTGTAGTGTATGCCTTGAAGAGTCTGCTGAAAGATATTGTTAATCTACTATCTATGTTCTGCGTCTACATATTTGAGTTACTTGTACAATGTAGTGTGTTTTAATCATAATTAGTTTTTACCAAGACCTCAAGAATATGCAAAGCCTAGACGAGTTTTTCCCACCAAATGACTGATATTTTATGGGGGATGAACCACCAGAAAATATATTTTTCAAGTTTTCAGCTTCTGCATTTAGATGGGTCAAATTCTTTTTACAAGGTCCATCTATGTACTTGATTAATACAGTGTCTAAATTAATTAAACAATAATCAGCTTTTTGTATATGTCACTTGTGTATAACCATCTCAAAACACAATTTAAAAAACTTTAGGTGCTGCTCTCAACTTAGTATGAAGTAGATATATGTATTGTGTAGCATAGATCAGTACAGGTACGATGATCAAGTTGACCATGGACTTGTAAGCCAGTTAACCATGTTTGTTGTCACCTAGTTTGTGGTTTTGATGTCTGTGTTATAAAATATACTTAGTATATGGTATAAATATTGTTGTATGCATAATGATGGGGTGGTGGTTTGATATAGTATTCATGCTCAATACTTGGAAATGATAATCTAATTACCATCAATCACCATAATTTCTTTTCCCGGATTAGTATTAGTTATGGAACCGGAGCGTGGATTGTCTACCCAAAAATCATCTAAGGTATAACATTGCCTAAAAAGCACTATCGAATTAATATACATATAAGTATGCTTAACCTTTTTGTTTGATGGAAGTGATATAGTTGACTAATGATACTAAAGGCATTGTTATTGGCCGTGGCTGCTGTTATTGCATGTTCTCTTGCTTTTCTTAACAAATGTAGGTCTAAAACAAGAAAGCTAAGAATAATTAGGCAACCCTACATTAATAGAGATAGTCTGAAGTCGGAGATTGTTAATATTGTTTTGTATTGTGGTGATACTCATTGTTTGGGTCAGATCCGTATAAGGCCTCGAGCATTTTTCAATTTGTGTAATATTCTAGTTGAAAGAGGACTTTTGAAAGAAAATACTCGAATAGGTGTTAAAGAACAAGTAATGATTTTTTTATACATTTTAGGGCATAATGTAAGATTTAGGGCAGCGGGGGGAAGATTTTTCAGATCAATTTGGTCCATACATCATTACTTCCATGTTGTTCTTAAAGCCATCCTTAAATTGTACTTAGAATTTGTCAAACCACAAGCCTCTCCACTTCCTTTGGAAATTCAAAACAACCCTAGGTTTTTTCCTTGGTTTGAGGATTTCATAGGAGCTATAGCTGGGACACATATACGTGCTTCTATACCCATTGAAATGCAAGATCGATTTCGTGGTAGAAAGGGTGGGACAACCCAAAATGTGCTAGCTGCTGTTGATTTTGATATGAAATTTACGTATGTGCTTGCTGGTTGGGAGGGTTCTCCTCATGACTCAAAGGTCTTGCAAGATGCACTCAAAAGGGGATTTAAGGTTCCTAAAGGTACTTTAATATTATTATTTTTTCTGGTTTCTTTTATGCATTGGTTATAAGTTAGTAACTATGACAAATCTCTTTAAATTGTAGGAAAGTATTACCTTGCTAATAAAGGTGTGCATCGTGCCGGGCCGTGCCTAGCGGGCCACGGTCTCCGGCGGGCCTTGCCACCGTGCTGGAGGAGGCGTGCCGTGCCGTGCCACCCAAATTCGCAGGCCAGCCCACGGCATGGCCCACGTGCCAAGCGGGCTCGTGCCTGGCCTGCTGCTGGTCTGGTGGGCTGGCCTAGCGAGTCGCTGCTGGGCTGCCTTTCCTTTCCTCTTTTTTTTTTTATTTTTTTTTATTTTTATTATTTATTAATAGTTGATAACTTATAATCTTATATTATTATTTTTCTAAAATAAGTTAAGTTTAATATTTATGTTTTATTATTTTTTATATTTAATATTTATATTTAATATTTAGTTTATACTATTACTTTATAGTTTAATGTTTATAATTTATTATATTTATTTTTGTATTATTAATTATTATAATTTTTTTTGTTATATTAATTTATAAATTATAACTTACGGGGAAAAAAAGGTAAATTGGACTTTGGATGTGAATAATGCATACTTCATATTATTATTACTTGAAAAAATTGTACAATGATAATAATGATAAAAATCGTACAAGGATATTAAACATAAATTGGATAATGATAAAAATCGTAAAATGATAATATTGATAATGATAAAATCGTACAATATACAAAAATTGTCTATTCTTCTTCTTCTTCTTCTTGGTCGTCTTCGGCTTCGGCTTCAAGGTCATCGGCTAGTTGCATAGATTGGGAACTAGCCGAACCCGAACGGTTGGAAGCGGAGGTTCCTTCAACGTTATCGTTGTCGTCGTAAGAACGGCCTTGTGAGCGATTTTCCGCATCCAACCAATCTTTGAAACACACGCACATTTCAAGTGTTTCGGGTTTTACACTTGTTCTTCTATCGTCTAAAACCCTCTCGGATGCGCTGAAAGCTCATTCGGAGGCAACGGAGGAGACTTGGATACCAAGAATGTCTCGTGCCATTGCCGCCAAAGTTGGATGCTTCATGCTTTGTTGTTTCCACCATGCAAGAAGGTCGAGGCTATTTATCTCATCGTCGTCCATGCCCTTGGTGAAGTCGTAACTCAGGTACATTTGCAACTTCGAGACATCGCTTTGCGTTCTCCTTATTGATGAATCACCTGAAAACCTTGAAACAAGTTAGTAGCTTGTGAAAATAAATGTTTGGCCTTATTACTTACGTTTTTGGATGGTTGGGAAGGACCTGAGCGAGGAACGGTGCCATAATTGGTTTCATAGACTCTATACAAAGAAAAAAATTGATCCTTCACATTAGTCTTATAGGTATCTACATCATCGTCAAGAAGCATGCATTGAAAATAAATGTCAACTAACATAAATGTATTTTCATACTTTTGCCTAGGATCTAATATGGAAGCAAAAATATAAATCAAAGGAATTTCAGTATAATATTTACGCCACTTTGTTTCCATTGCTGGAAGATATGATCATAATCACTTTGGTTGCGATGATCAGCGAAAAGTTGGGCGAGTAAACATGCATTTGAAAGAGAGTTTTGAGCACAAGGATTATAAACAGAAGAAAAACAATACGTCATGTTATATAATAACTGTAAAAATTGCATATATTGTTCACATTTATCCCAATTATCCTCATATATAACATTGTTTGGAAATTTTTGGTTGTAAAAAATTGTCAACGGATTCTTGTACTCAATTGCCTTGGTTAACATGTCATAGATGGAATTCCACCTAGTTGGGCAATCGGTTTTGATTTTTAAATTGCTCTTATCTTTTGTTGTCTTAGAAAACTCTTCCATTCTTGGTATCTCATGTTTGAGCTATTAATAGACATAATAGCATCTCTAATTTTGGTGTAGTATGGACCAATTGCTCTAATTCCATCCTGTACACACAAGTTAAGAACATGGCAAACACATCTAGTATGAAGTGCATCACCATCTAATATTACATCGGTCAAGTTTTGTTTGACATAATTAACAGTATATGTCATTGAGGTTGCATTGTCAAATGTCATAGACATGATTTTTTCTCGAAGGTTGTATTCATTTATTGCTTTCATTAAATGGTGAGCAATGTTAATACCGGTGTGGGGGTATTTCAGCATTTTGAAATGGATTATTCGTTTTTGTAACAACCATTGATCATCTACCCAATGGCAAGTCACACATAAATATTGATATTTATAACCACTATTCTAAGAATCGGCAGTCAAAGACACTCTACAATTAAGTTTACTCAATTCGTCTTGTAACCACATTTGTACTCTAGGAAGTTTTTCATGGCGGCGAAACGAACGATTTTCCTAAAGGTTCTTAATTTTATGTTGGGGTTGTAATGCTTTGTTAATGTAAGTTTTAAATAGGTCACTTTCGGAGAAAAGAAAAGGTTGTTCGGCGTGTACTATCATTTTCCCTAGTTCATCCCTATCCCTCTCATAGTTGTAGGTAAAGCCGTGTGTATGGAATTGGGAAATTTTTGGCTGGGTTGGATCACTAGCTGGTTTTGCATAACTTCTCATGTGTCTACTTAAGTGTCCCGTCCCAGACTTGGATTGTGCCGAGTATGATTGACCACATGTTCTACATTTTGCTCTTGTTTGGTTTTTATTTAGGAGGAAATAATTAACGCCATACCTCACTTTTGCGGCTTTTGATATGTACCATCTCACTTTCGATTAACCATTCCTCATGTGTGTTTGAGAATTGGGTGCTTGTAGATTCGGGGATTTGTTGGTTAGTAGTAGAACCGGAAACATTTAGGGTATCTTGTTGGCAACCTTGGCTAGAATAAAAATTTTGTGGGTCAAAGAAATCAGGTGGGAATTGACCGAATTGTGGAAATTGGTTTGGTGGTGGAAATCCGGGCATATTGTTCATGTTATAGGGTTGAAAACCGGAAGTACCATCTTGCCTAAATTGGTCAAAGCCTAGGGGGACGTTACCGGGGTCATTGGTTGGAATGGACGGACTCGGAATTTGGGGGCTCGTTGGATTAGGTGATTCCCTAGAACTACTACCACGGACAAGTCGGGCTTTCCCCCTAGATGATGGGTTGTTCGATGCCATAATTAACAATAATAACTTTAATAATAACTAATTAACAATAATAATAATAATTAATAACAACAATTTTAACAATAATAGTAACAATAATAATAATTTATAACAATAATTATAACAATAACAATAACAACAATAATAATTAATAACAATAATTATAATAATAACAATAACAACAATAATAAATAATTAAAGATTAGTTTAGATCTTACAACCGTGCTTCAACGCTTTCCACTAATTACGATTACGAACTTTTAATTTTTTTCGATATTAAGAAATAATAATTAGAGAATTTAAGAGAATTATTAGAGAATATAAGAGATTAAGGATTATTAGAGAATATAAGAGATTAAGAGAAGAGATTGTGAATTTGTGATTTGGGAAGTGAATGAAATTTGGTATTTATAGGGAATTTGGGAAAAACTAGCCGTTAATGGCCGTTAGAAACAAAAATGGCCGTTAGAAACAAAGGGGGGCAAGTGGGCAACGACATTATAGCCGTTTTATAGCCGTTGGCACGCGGGCTTGGCATTGGGCTCGTGCCGTGCCGTGCTGGAAAAGCAGGACCCTTATCCTTGGCACGGCCCACGGCCCGCCGGCGTGCCACCGTGCTGTGCCGGGCCACCACCTCGGGCCATGCCGTGCCCCGCCGATAATCGTGCCGTGTCGGGCCGCCCGCAGGCCAGCCCGGCCCGTGCCCACCTTTACTTGCTGATGCAGGGTATTGTGACCGTAAAGGGATTCATGCCTCCATATAGGCGTATTCGCTACCACTTGAAAGAGTATACAACCAATCCACCTGAGAATGAACGTGAATTATTTAATCTTCGACACTCCTCACTAAGAATGGTTGTGGAGAGAGCATTTGGAGTATTAAAGAAGCGATTTCGTGTCTTAGATGCTGAGTCATTTTGGCCGTATGAAACCCAAGTAGATGTAGTTCTAGCATGTTGCGGGTTACATAACTACCTTAGAGGTGTTGACCCAAATGACCCAATTAAAAGTTGAAGTAGAGATGGCATCACAAGATTTACAACACATGGGGGAAGCACGTACTCGAAGGAAAGAGCGGGAAGAAAATCAACAAATCGAAAGAAAGAGAAAGGCCATTGCAATGGCGATGTGGACTGTATACAAGAAGACTTGTATTTGATGGGCTTAGCATATGCATTTTTAAGATAATTAGTTCATAAATTATGTATTTTAATTCTATAACATTTTGTTTATTTAAAGACAATATTTCCAGTGATTATGTATTTTCTATCAACTTTTTTATATGTGATACCTTACTAGAGTTATTACCTATTTCAACTTTTTTATTTAGTGTTCTGCATCAATTTTATATTTCTTATATATTATTATGCTGTTTTTTTTCCAGATTCTAATGCTAAAGTGATTGTTCCAGGTTATAAAAGAAGAGAAAAAGGCCAACTTTAAGGACATGTCAAAGGAATTACTCGACTTTTTAGCCGAAGAAGTTAAAAAGGGAAACCGGCCTAATAATACTTTTCGAACAAGGTCTTTTGTGGCTGCTGCAAAGATTATCTCTGAGAAGTTTCAAACCAATTGCACCTCGGAACATTGTGGAGAATCATATGAAAACTGTGAGGAATGCATTGGTGGCTATATCAACAGTCTGAAACAACTCCGGGTTTGGATGGAACGATAATTTGAAGATGGTGACAGCATCTCCCACATCATATGCTACTTATGTTAAGGTAGTGCTGTTTTATACACCTGGAAACATGTTGTTATTCACCCTTAAATAACTGTCACTCCCCATTTTCTCTCTCTTTTCTTGTTTTGCTTAGCTGCAATTATGCTTCTGGATCTGTGTTAATATGATAATGCACTGACCAATATTGTTCATTTGCATACTGACCAATATTAAAGCTCTATCAAGTAGCCAATGTAGGATGTTAATATGATATCAGCCTCTGTACAAACTAACTTTTTGGCCCTATAATCTGATTTTTGCAGGAATATCCAAAATATGAAAAGTTTTTGAATCGAAAAATTGATATGTATGAAGAGATGGCTATAGTAGTGGGTAAAGATTTAGAACGGGGGAACTTCTCCAAGACATTTGCCGACATCGATGTTGATGCTTCAACGGAAAGTGGACAACCAAGTATGACTAATGATAGTGTGCCTTCCAAGGATGAGAGTGGTACCTCGTCGGGCTCAAGGCCACATCAAAAGAGGTCTCGAATTGACGAAGGATCGGAAATGGAACACATTTCAGCACAACTTCAAGAAGTGGTTAGTGCTCTAAAAAAAATTTCAAACAATCAACTTGATGTGGAGAAGCTTTATGACGAAATTATGAAGATGGAGGACATTGAAGAAGGGGTGCGTGTTGCGGCTTTTGATCACTTGGTGGAGCGCGAAATGCTTGCAAAAGCATTTTTGACAAAAAGCTTGCCACTACGCAAACTTTGGATCGGAAAGTTTGTCAAAGACCATAAACATTAAAGTCTGCTTGCTGCTTTTATTCCAATATCTGGTAGTTTGCTCTTGCTATCTTCAAGGTTACTGCTCTGGTTGCAATCTGCTGCTTGGTTTTGGTGCATTCTGCTTTGCCTTTTGTTTCCAGCTTCCTGTTGTTGTTCTGCTATAACTGCTATGCTGCTGCCTGGTTGATGCCTGGTGTTTATGCTGCTGCTTCAGGTTGCTGGAAGCTGCTTCTCCTGCTCCTTGGTTTGTTGTTGGCTGCTATATGCTGCTTGGTCTGCCCTTGTCCTTTCTACAGCCGTTTTTCTTTTGTTTCTTTTTTTGTTGTTTGTTTGGCTTGGGTATTTGTATTCTTGGGTATTAGCAGAAGTTTTTTATTATTAGTTTGAAGTAGTTAACATTTGTAGATCAAATATGAAGAACTATAGAATTTTAGCTTTTAAATCATTTACAAGGGTGTTTTTCATGTTCTCTTCTTGAGTTACAGTCGAGGGCCGGGCTTGGCTTAATTTACGGCTTAATTTAAAAACAATTAGGTTCACAAACAATATTAAGTAACAAAAGGAAAATTGTTTTAAAAGGAAACTGAATTTCCAAACAAACAAAGAAAAATGGGATTCATGGAAAATGAATTTCTAAACAAACAAAGGAAAATGGGATTCTTGGAAAATGAATTTCCTTACAAACAAACAAAGGAAAACTAAACCAAATTTGAGTTTTCCTCCAGAAAATGGATTTCATTGAAATTCATTTTCCATTAGAACCCATCAAAACAAACGGAGCCTTAATATGAACACCTTCTAAAGGTTGTATAATTACAAAATAATCAAAAGGTTGTATTATTAAAAAAGAATGGGCCAAAGGTTGTATTATTTTTGGCAATTTTTCCTAAGATAAATTCCTAGTTATCTTTGATATGTATGTATTTTGTAGAAGCAAAATAAACATAATTTGGATCAAATAGCAAGACACATTCTATATACTACCTCCGCTTTATATTACTTAGGGGTGGCAATTCAGGTCAACAAGTCGGGTTCAGGTCAGATTTCGGGTCGATTTCGGATTTTGCTTAGAAACTATAAAAAATAATGTAAAATTGAATATTATTACGAAATATGAATTTTAGGTCAAATCGGGTCGACTTCGGGTTGTTCGGATTCGGGTCGGTTCGAGTTCAGGTTTCTCTCAGTAATTTCGGGTTGGGTTCGGGTCGGGTTAGGGATTGCTAGCCCTAATATTACTCGCAACATTTGCCAAAAATGCCCGCTTCACATTACTCGCAACAAAGTGATTTCTTTCCTTTTTCAAGTAAGTTGTTTTGTGTGATTTTACAAAATTACCCTTACTTTTTTTTAAACACCCTAATTAAAAAAACTGATTTTATCTTATTAACTTAAACCCTAACATTGATTAACTTAACTATTTCCACCATAATCAATCCCCTTCCATCTAAATTCATCATCATCCCAGCCACCTTCATCATTCAACCACCTTCATTTTTTTTTGAAACCATTCAACCACCTTCATCATCCTTCATCTTCTTCCTCATTCCATTATTTTTCTCTCTACCTTCATCACCAAATTTCTTCATCTTCTTCCTCATACCCATTGTTTTTCTCTCTGCTCCTCCAACCCCATTCTCAAGGTTTTTCCAAATCTGAGGGTTTCGTGGGTTCGCGAGATTGGTGGGTTCGTTGGGTTAGTGGGTGCACTGGCTAGGTGGGTTCGCTGGCTTGGTGGGCTCGCGGGATCGGTGGGTTCGTTGGGTTAGTGGGTTCGTTGGCTTGGTGGGTTCGCAGGTTCGCTGGGTTAGTGGGTTCAAGGGTTTTCCAGATATGTGGGTTTTCGTGGGTTGGTTGGTTCGTGGGTTTGGTCGATGTTTTGTGCGTCTGGTGGTGGTTGGTTCGGTGTTTTGTGCGGCTTGGTGGTGGTTGGTTCTGTGTTTTATGGCTGGGTTGTGGGTGGTTTCGGTGCTGGTGGTGGTGGTCGTGAGTGGTTTCGGTGCTGGTGGTGGTGGTGGTGGGTGGTTTCAGTGCTGTTGGTGGTGGTGGGTTAATTATTTTAATTTTTGTTAATTTTTTTTTGGATTGGATTAATATTTAAGTATATGCCTTTATTTTTCAAAAACTACACTTAAGATCTTTTGCCTAGGAGTCAGTGCGCAACATGTTTGTTGCAAGTAATCTGAAACGAAGGTGATAGTTTTATCAAAATGCTCTCATAAAAACATATACTAAGGCACTTATCATACTTTCATTAATAACATCTAAAATCCAATCATAGAATAACAACATTGTTAACATATAAATAATCTTGTTGGACATCCATATATATTTAATGCATGCCTCGAATTAAATATGATAAGGAGTTCCAATTATATATAAATGAAAAGATCTGAAACTTAGATTCTCAAAAATTAAATAAACAAGAAATGAAATATTCCTCAGATGATCCAAATGGGTGTCCTATAAACTAACTTTTAAGGTTATATAGTCAAATTTATTAAATTTAACAACACGTGAAAATAATACAACTACATGGCCCAAAGTAGTATTGCTAATAAATAACATTATTATTGGCACATTGACTTTCATTTTATTACATATACTCACTAATATTCTATTTTGGTCAAGGTCAATTTAATTCAACACACTTCTCCTCCATAGCAAAACAATACAAATTTGCAAACAAATGATAATAAAAAATTTAAAACCGAAATTTTCGCCTCAACCATGCTTAGGCTAGGTAGCAGGACCAGTAGTAATTGCACATGCACAAATTTAGTGATCACACATGTGGTGGAGCATATTTAGGCGCAGGTGGTGGCGGTGGTGGTCGGCGCGGAGGTACGGGCACATATGGAGCATAATTTTTTGACGGAGGTGGGGGTGCTCGCCGTGGAGGCACCGGCACTTGTGGAGCATTGTATCTTGTAGGAGGTGGTGATGGTCGTTGTCGAGGTGGTGGCCGCGGTGGTGGACTTCCTACACAGTTGCAACTTGGAGGGTGGGATAGGAAGGCCTTACACTCTGTAGAAGATTTTTGTGACAAGTCTTGACAACCAAAAATGACAATTATTTTCATCATTTTTATCCATAATCATTAAGCACTGAATCGGCTCTTTAGTAATGTAATTATTAGCATAAGTGAAGTTTTCCAACTTAGGCAAATTACAAATGCTGGTTGGAATTTCCCCATAAAATTTATTATTTGCAACATTAAGCTGCTCTAAGCTCTGCATCCTTCCCATACTCTCAGGCAATGTGCCGGTTAGATCGTTAAAGCTTACGTCGAAAACGGTAGCTTTGTTCAACCCCCCAATACTTGTAGGTAAACAACCTTTTAGCCCTATGTTCATGAGAATAACCTCTTCGAGGGTTCCTCCCATTTTGGCAATTTCTGATGGGAAACACCCTTTAAGGTTGTTGTTAGCCACAACGAGCACGGAAGCAGGGGAGTTTCTGATGGTGCTAGGAAGGGGTGAGGAGAATTTGTTGTTGTTTAAGAAAAGTGCATCGAGTTTTAAGTTAAAGAGTTGAGGAGGGATTACACCCTCGAACTGATTATATCGAATATCGAGGAATTTGAGAGATGGAAGATTCAGGAAAACAGAAGGAAAAGGGCCACGGAACAAGTTGTTACTTAAGTCAAGCTCAAAGAGAAGCTTGCACCGCGAAAAGAAGGAAGGGATATTACCGGAAAATTTGTTTGAACTGAGGTGAAGGAGCGCAAGGTCAGGTAAAAGGTCGAGTTTATCAGGTAATGAACCCGAGATGGTGGCGTGGTTAAGATCAATCCCTGCAACAGTGATGACATTGGCATTGTCTGGCGCTGGTGCACAGAACACCCCTTGGTAGCTGCACACATTGCTGCCTACCCAGTTCGAGGTAAACCCGAAAGGGTCAGAGATGAAAGTTTTCTTCCATGCTTGCAGAGCAGTGAGTGCATTTTGAAGCCTAACACCTCCTGATGATCGTTGAAACGTTGTAGTTTGATTGAATGATGAAGAACTACTTTGATTCGACGACCATCGTTCAAATGATGAGCCATTTTGATCAAATGATGAAAATGAACTTGTTCGATTTGATGAAGATTGTTCAAATGAGGAAGATTGTTGTTGTAGTGAGGGAGTTGGGAGGGAAAGTATGACAAAACTAGTAGCCCAAAGGGCTATAATTAATGTTGGTTTAAAGTAATAATTCATAATTATAATGATATTAATGTTTGGGATGAAGAATTTCTATGTTTCTGCAGATATATATAGAGGGAGTTTGTGTAACAAGTTTGACTTGAAATGTGAAGTGCAACGAAAGCTCGCACGTAACAGAATAAAGCAAAATAATTATGCATATGATATAATATGTTATACCTATATCTTAGGTTTATTTTATACAAGTAAAACAGCTGTAATTTATTTTTAATAGGTGAGTTATTCATTGTCAACTTTTCTTGTAAATATAATATTTGCTATGAATAAAAAACAAATTATATTTACTCTATATTACAAATTATTGATCTGTGCACCCAATGAAGATAAAAGCTAAATTAAAAGAAGATAAAGAGTAAAACAAAAGATTACGAATCCTTAAAAAACATATGAGTTAAAACGAATGAATATGAATCCCAAAAGCAACAAAAAATATGCATTTAATTTTTAAGTTCGTATCAAAATTATATCTAAATAAATATAGTTCAAATCCAAGATACATATATGTTCATTTTTATATTATTCAAACGTGAAAAGAACATGAGTTGTATTAAAAATAATATGAATTATAACAACATATAGTCCAAAATTAAAGATCAGAACATATGTTGTTACTTGTTATATATTTTGACCGGATGCAACATGAATAGTATATGCATCCGAGAGTGCACTATGTATTACTCCACATTCTTTTTTTTTGGCACCATTTGTAATTTTGCTCAATTTAACATGTAAACATTGTCTTTAACTACGCAATATTAAATATAGTCGTATGAAAGATTGATTTCTTGAAACTATTATTGTAGACACCAAAACGTGTTTCCCAAAAATCAAGCCTGATGATGAAACGTACATCATGCACCGTCTAATTTGGTTCAGTTGCATTTTCCAAGCCATTTAGCCTCTTCTTTAGCCAAAACCCTTTAATTTCTTTAGTAAAAACCCTGATTTCATAGCCTTAGAATCTAATATATATATATATACACACATATATATATATACATATACATATATATACATATACATATACATACATATAAATATACATATACATACATATACATATATATAAATATACATATACATATATATACATATATATATAAATATACATATATATATATAAATATACATATATATATATATATGAATATATATATATATATGAATATATACATACATATATATATATATATACATATATATATATATATATACATATATATATATATATACATATATATATATATACATACATATATATATATATATATATATATATAAAGTAGACATTTTTCAAAAATATTCGGCGCGCCACATAAGCAAAGATATTATTTTGACCAATAAATAATTAGATATATATTCTATTTAGAATAAAAAAATTGATTCGCCACTTAAGAAAAATTAACGAATGAGATTTATGAATTTGAATTCAATTTCCATGTAATTAAAAAACCACGAATAGTGATTGAGGATTTTAATAGTTAAAAAGGCAAAAAAAATTATCTTTTGATATTAGAGATTTTATCCAAATATCCGATAAATATAATGTAAACGGAATTTTAAATTTTATTTTACTTTTAATTAATTCAAGTGTCATCAACAAAATTGCATTAAAAATAAAAATTATACATTTCTAATAAAAATTTAATCACAGTATTATCAGGATTTATTAACTAAAAATTTAATAATTAAAAAAACTTAAACTTTAAGTGAAAAAAAAAATCTTTGTTTCAATTCCTCAATTTATGGAAAAGAAATTAAAACAAAATTAATAATATTATAGAGATCATATATCAAAAAAAAAAATTATTACAATACTAAAGGGAAAAAATTTAAAGATTGTAAGAGCAGTATATATATATATATATATATTCATGAGATTTCAGAGCGCCACGTAGGATATAATTTTTTAACGCGCCAGGTAAGATTGTAAATTTTAGTTATAGCCAATTAAAAAAGAGATTTGTAATTTCTTTTAGAATTAAATAATTCAAGTGCCACTAGTAGAAAAAATGAATTAGGCACCGCACATTTCGCACCGGTTCTTGAAAACCGGTGGCAAAAGAAATGGGCGGGATTGGGGAAATGACTTTTCGCACCGGTTCCTATTAATTCGGTGCGAAATCATCTTTTTCGCACCGGTTTGAACCGGTGCGAATTACAAACGAAAAAAAAACGGAAGAAAGAGATTTCGCACCGGTTCTAACCAAACTGGTACGAAATGTTTTAAAAAAAAACCGGTTTATGGCTTTCTTTCTTCTTCTTTCTTTTTTCCCCCCTGCTTTCCCTCTTCGTTCTGCTCTTCTCTTTCTCTCTCGTTTTCGCATCTCCTTCTCTTCCCGAACTCCACTCCATTGAAGCAGCTCGCTCTCTCTCCATTGAAGTGGTTTACGAGCTTTCTCACTCCACTGAAGCAGCACATCCTTCTCTCTCCATATCTCTGGCCTCCATTGAACTCACGCGTGCTCTATATTCTCCATTGAAGCCGATTCTGAGCTTTCTCACCTCCATTGAAGCAGCTTCGAGGTAAGATTTTTCTCGTGGTCTACTTAATCCCTCGAATTCATTCGCAATCTAGGATTTATCGTTGATTTTCTTTTCAATTTAGTAATTATAGGGTTATGGTAATATAGGGTTTGTCATTGAAGCGCGCACGGCTACACCTCCACCACAACGACCTTCTTGTCACGGCGGCACGGCCTCGAACAGTGGACCTGGTGTCTGGTGAGCTTGCCTTTCCGGTTTGTGTTACTTGCTGTGCATTGAGTTATGCTCGAGTTGTTATGTCTTTCAACTTTGTTGATAATTATGATGTGCACTGAGTTGTTCATTGAGTTATATATGCTGTGCACCCCCTCACCGTTAACTCCAAAGACAAACACCATTGCCACCAATGTCACTTTCAGTAGAACAAATGCTCTGCATCAGTTTTGCATTCTTGTCGCCCTTGAAGTCTTGAGTTCTATTAGTTTTTGTATACTGTTTGATATTGTTTTGGTTTGGTTTGGTTTTCTGCTCTCTAGAAGATGATTGGTTTGTGTGAGTCGTTGTCTAACATGTTTATGAAATTCCTGTCGTCAAGATATTCTTCTCTTTTCACCACCCAATTGTGTTAAACCATTGCACAACTTCAATTCGTTTTGTTAGTTTCATTATTTGAAATGTTGTCTATGATCATGAGAATGTGGAAATATGTGTTGTTTTTTTTTGCTCAAATTAAATAAGGAAGTGCTCAAATATGTAGTCTTTTTGTAAATTGTTCGACGATTGAATATCTAAGGTTATTATATCAGTTAGAATTTTTTGTAAGTCTCTCTTGCCTAGCATTACAAAGATCAGGGAGTATAGGTGGTAAAAACGATTTGCTTTACATTTGAGGTTACTCTCTATGGATTGATAATTGGTTTTTGTTGAGGGATTCCTTTGCCATAACCATTCATCTTCGTTTTGCATGCGTGTGTAATGTGATAAGTGATGTGCAGAGCTGAGTAGTGTTTCTTAGATTTCAATGTTCTGTTTGCTATTGAATTTGTGTATCAATGTTATTGGTTGTTATAAATTTAAATGTATGCTAAGTGTTATTGATTTCTCATTCTTACTGATGTTCCTTGTATATCGTATGCTGATTATAAAATACTTTTGATAGTAGCTTGTGTGAGACAGAAGCATTTCTTATTGGAGTTTCAAACTACAGGTCCAAGCAGTGCTCTTGCTCCTTGGAGAACGTGAGACTCATGCTGGAGTTCCAACAACTGAGGTTGCTTTTGGACAAGACAATAGGGTAATACTTTTAAAAACAATAAATAAAAAAAAAATACATACAATAGGTGATTCTGGTGAAGCTTGTGAGAATGATATAATAACCTGTTTCCTATATATATGTTTTGAGCTGATTTTGTAATAAATTTGTAGGCCACTGGAAGTCCTGCGAGGAAATCCATTATATAATAACCTTGGTTAGGTTTCGGGAGAAAAGAAAAGAGAGGTGTTTTGATAACAAAATCAGGTATACTATACGAAAGGAGGTTGCTCAAAGTTAAGATTTTTCTCTAAGTTTTTTTTTTTCAGTTTGATATTTCTTAGTCAGTTTACCAAATTGTTATGGCTATGCTGCTGTATTCACTGTTGGTTTGTCGAGAGTTCTATTATTATCTATGCTAAGGAGGTCATAGATATGACGTAGAACTTGTGAACTCATTAGTTGTCACACCAAATGTTCACACTTATAAAGATGTATCAGCTTGTTCTGTTGGCTCTATGATCCAAGAATTTGAATTGCAGCAAATTTTTAGTACGTGTGCCCGAGTCCAACCCGTGAGGTCTGTAGCTATCTTCACTCATATATAACACCACACATCACAAAGTACATGTAAACACATTCTTTACTTGAACCAACAAGGCAGACAGAGACTGTAAAAGCTGAGGTGATTACTTTTGCCAACTCAAGGGATTGCTTCTTGACACCAGTGTGCTTTATTTCTATTTTCTATTTCTAGGATGCACCGCAAGAATGGCCAATTTGCATTTTGAGAGAAGGTTCGGCATCTCTCAATTTGGAAGCTAAAAAGAACTTAGTGGTTGGTAGAAGCCTGGGACCAGAAACTGTGTGAGTCCTTGTTAATTTAATCCCCGCTCCTCCTATATGCACAATGTGCTGAAGGATAGTAATTAATTTATCTCCGAATTTCTGCTTATTCCCTTTCTAATTTTCTCTATAATTTCCAGTTCAAACAAGTGTCAGCATTGTGGTATTAGTGAAAATGATACACCAGCAATGCGACGCGGACCAGCTGGTCCAAGAACCTTGTGCAATGCTTGCGGACTGATGTGGGCCAACAAGGTGTGAATTCATAATATTGTATTTAAAATGTTTTAGAGTTGAGATTCTTGAGAGAGAGAAAATGTTATAATATCAACATATATGCATTGAGCTTTGCGTAATTAAAATAATGTGCTGTAGGATAGAGGAAACCATTTGTGTAGGATTCTGTCTGTGTAAAATGGTCTATGTAGTCTAAGTTTCTGATACTAAGGAGCGATTATGTTGCTAGAGAAGAAATTATGAGCCATATTTGATAATTGAAACAAATTTGGTTGATAATTGAACTATGAAATTGAACCTATTCTCCCATTATTACTACTGTTTAATTGGAAATATGAATTTGGACCTCTTCTCCCAACAATGAACAATGATACAGTTAGAATTGGATTCATCTCAATAAATTAATCCAAAAGAAAATCGTTTTATGGTTTATATGTTGTATTTATAGGTAGTGTGATAAATAATAATGATCAAAGTTAGCAAGGTTTGATCTTTGATGACTGAATATTATTTTGAGATGGGATGAGTGATACTTGAAAACAATCATCAGTTTGGTAAGAGGCGATTTGCAATATAATTCATGGTTGTTCGCATATATCTATCTTTTCTGATGTATGCTTGACAAACAGACATTGGATTTTATCAAAGTCTTTATTTTTATCAATTAAGAGATGTCTTCAGGATTCAGGACAAGGTAATCTTTATGATCTATTCTTGACTTGTGCTGACCATATATGTCAACTTAGGCCATTAGAAAAAGATAGGAGGAAGTACTTCGCATTACGTATCCTGTTATAAGGTAATCAACTTTGTAATGCACATAATGGCCAGAGTCTTAGAAGTGAGAACCACTAATGTTACAAATGCTCTTGAGTGATCTTTGCTGACTACGTAGTAAATTTTTATTCTAGTCTGTTGGTGCCTTGCATATGATGGATTATTCTTTCTGGCATTGAATTTTTTTCCCATAAGTGATCTTTAGAAATAGCAGAGCGCCACCAGCACAGCACCACAGCAGAACCCAGCAAAAACAGCAGCCTGACCCAGAGCAGCCAAACCAGCAAGCAACACAGCACTACAGCAGAGCAGCAAACACCCAGCACAGTCTGACCAGAGTAGAACAGAAACACAGCAGCTTAAGAACTCAAACCAGTCACCCAGCCAGCCTGAACATAACAGAGACACAGCCATAGAAGCAAACAGATGTCCAGCCAGCCTGAACAGGATAGAGGCACAACAGTGCAGCAGAACAGAAACAACCGCACAACAAACAGCAGAGCAGCCTGTCAGCCTGAACACATAACAACACAGTAGCCAACAGAGCAACCACCAGCACAAGACCAGGACAACTCCTGGTGGAACTCAGACAGTATGCTGTTTTTGAAGAAAATATATATGTTAGTGTTTATATGTCCATTTTTTTTATATATACGTTAGTGTTTATATGTCCATTTTTTTTTTAGTTTTTTAAACTGTAATATTACAAGTTATTGAAGAAAATATATGTGTATTATGTATATTATTATTATATATAAGTATTTGGTACAATTTAAGTGAAAAAATACAAAAAAAAAATAAAAAAAAAATTATTTTTTATTTTTTTGGGGCACTTTTGGCACCGATTTTGGAAAAGAACCGATGCTAAAAGTTTTTTTTAGATATTTTTGGAGACTTTTGGCACTGGTTCTAAGTAAAAACCGGTGCGAAAAGTTCGGTTTTTGGCACCGGTTTTCCCCAAGAATCGGTGCGAAAAGTCATTTTTCCCACCGGTTTTGAACCGGTGCGAAATCTATGGGGTTTTAGCACCCCCCAAATCCAGCCCGGTTCAAAACCGGTGCGAAATGGGGGGTTTGAACCGGTGGGGAATTCTTATTGTCGCCTAGTGTGCCACATAAGCAAAATTAACAAATGGAATTTTAGAGTTTAAATTGATTAAATATAAAATATTATCTTTTGACATTAGGAATATTATCTGAATATATAACGAATAAGAGGAAGTTCACAATTTATTTTACAATAAAAAAATTAAATGATTTCCAATGAATAAAATAACAAGTTTTATTAGATAATTACATAAATTATTTATTTTAAAAAATACAAACAAATCGTGCATTGCACGGGCTTCATCTAGTTATTTTTATTTGTGTACTAGATTTATGCCCGTGCGATGCACGGTCTCTATCAATAGTTAAAAAATTAACATTAATATTCAATTGTAATAACAAAAATTTTAATACATAATATTACCTATTTTTTTAATCTTATATAATTAAGGTTCACACACATATAAACATGGTATTTTTTGTAAAATTTTTGTTTAAACAACAAAACAAACCAATTCTTGAAGAAAAATATACAGAAAATAAAATGTAAAGCTATATGTATTTGTTTGACCAACTGTTTTTCAAATTGTGTACACGGTGAAACATATGATCTTCTAGGCTTCCATCATCCTTTGTAAATCAATCGCTGATCATGCCACTTGATAAATGGCATGATTAAATCCGCCCCCTTATAAAATTAACATCCTTGCAAAATTAACTCTTAAGACTGACTTTTTAATTATGATCACCGTTCACCGCATTCAAGAATTTCATGGTGTTCAAATTCTAAAATATGCTTCTTTACTTGCAAAATTTTTACGTTTATTTGTGTGGGACATTAGATGAGTTTATATAGGATTGAAAAAATACTAAATTTAAAGTGGTGATAAATTTTATTATTAGATATGATAAATTTTATTAACGTACTTAATCTTTTAGCCGAATAAATAATTAATGATGAATATTTTTTTTTGCTAGAAAAAGAGAAAAGATATATTTTTAGTTTCAAAGATTTTTTATTTATTATTAGTATCTAATCCAAAGCTGATATTTTTTTATTTGAACAACTGATATATTTTTTTAATTCAACGTGATTTCATATTTTTTTTATTAGGATTGTTTTTATAAAATATTTTATTATAATCATTTTCCAAATTTCATTATTTTTTTATCTAATCCAAATTATTTTAATATTCATTGAACGTGAATTTGACTTTTTAAGTTTAATAGTATTTTTTTTTATATATACGAAATTAAAAAAATTGTTTCTTTTCTCATATTTTGATAAAATTTCCAATATAAAAGATAATATTTTATTTTATAATTAATTTAAACCTTTAATTTTAACCCTACGTGGCGCTTTAAAATAATAATCCTACGTGGCATAATCCTACACGTAACACTCTAAAAATACTAATTGTACATTACGCTCTAAGAATTGTTTAAAAATCAAAATCCTATGTGGCTATCTAAAATCTTGGAAAAAAAACTCCACTTTTATATATAATATATAATACTACCTCCGTTTATTTTTAGTTGATACCATTTGACTTTTACACTATTCATAAATTACACTTTGACTAGTTTTTGTGATATATAGCTACGATAAAATATAGTCAAGTGGGATCTTGTTTGAATCATCTCAATGTATATTTTATTAATATTCACTTTTTATAATTTTACAATGTAAAGAAATAGAGATATTAATCGTTAAAATAGTGCGTTGGCAAGCGTGAAAAAAGAAAGGTGTCAACTAAATAAAAACGAAGGTAGTATATATTAGATTATAGTTTTTGATAGAATATATGTATTATTTTGTAAATATTTTTGTGTACATCTATTATTTCTTCATTGTCGTAGTGTATACATATATCTCTATTATTCAGTCATTAAAAGGACATATAATCATGCAATTTCATTGTAAAGATTTAATTTTATTCAATTAGATTAATTTCAGTAATGCAACACTCTTGGTATATAATTTTCATTTTTACTATTTAAAAATATGTAAAGTCATATATTATTTTTATAAAAACAATTTATTTGTAATTATATCTTGTATTTTTTTATTTCTTATTATCATTAAATTATTTAAACAATATAATATACATGTAAACTTAATCTAACTTAGGTGAATAATAATATACTACTAGAAATAGGTCGTTTTCCGACGAACTTAAATTCCGTTGGAGAATTTGAAAATTCCGACGGAATTTGGGTCTGTCAGAAAAATCCGTTGGAAAAAATAAGTTGCGACGGAAAATCCCTCGGAAATATTCCGACGGATTTTTTTCCCTCGGAATTTATGTCTTCCGACGGAATATTCCCTCGGAAAATATCTACCGATGGAAAATTCCGCCGGAAGCTGTAAATTCCGAGGGAAAATAAATCCCTCGGAACATATTAATTTCCTACGGGTTTTAATTCCGAAGGAAATTTCGACGGATTTTAAATCCGTCGGAAATTTCTAACGGAATTTACCCTATTCCGACGGAATTTTATTAAAAAAAAAACCTAAATCTAAAAACACGGAAATCTGACCCCCTCCCCCCCCCCCAATTCTCTTTCTTTCCTATTCTCTCTCCACACCCCTCTTCTTCTTCTCTCTCCTCTCTCCTCTCTTATTTCTCTTTCTTTCCCTCTCCTCTACCTGACTGTTATTCTTCTTCTCTTCTCATCCCTCCTTCTTCTCTTCTCATCCCTCTTTTTCCCCCTTTCTCTTTCTTCTCGATCTCCTTATCACTCCTCTTTGCAACACCACCACCACTACAACAACCACCGTCCGCAATAACCGCCAAGAAGAACACCACCGCAAGAACCACCGGCTACATCAAGGCTGCGCAAGAACACCACCACCGCAACAACCTCCGACAACACCAACACCGAAGAAAGATCTACATTTAATTTTGGTTAGAATTAGATCTAGTTTTATTTTGTTCAAATTTTCAATGTATAACTTTTAGTTTTTGAAATAATTGTATATTTAAGTTAAATTTTTGCTAAATTTTGAACTGTTAAATTTCAATGTATATTTTTGTTAAATTTCGAATTGTGTTGATTTTAGATCTATTTATTTAATTTTTAATTTCTGTTTTTTAATTTATGTTATGAATTTTGTTTAATTTTTTTTTTCACGGGTTAAGGGTTTTTTTGGTGGGTGGTGTGGTGGGTTCGGGTTGGTGGGTTATGGTGGGG